ACTAACTCTGTGAGAGATGATCTCGTGATTGCACCGTGGTGAAAGACGAAATTGCATGCCAGTGACGAGTTGCTTACGTTACCTCCGAAGAAGAAAGGACGAAAGCGAGTCCAAACGGAAATTGTGTGGCATACGCGCGATGCACTACAGGCTGCCTCTGTTGCAAAGCCATCGAAACGAAACAAGTAAATTTTTGTTCGTCTGCAATAAAAATGCATGAAATTTAATGACTTTTGTGTGTTTGTGAATATTAATATGGTCCATTTTATTTCTTGGTATTATTTTTCAAAAAACTTTACATACATACAAAATTGAAGTAAATTGACTTTCCGAGAATTTGCTTGGAATTCTCACTTGAAACTTTAGTCTGTTGTATTAGTTTTCCTGCGAATCACGATTGTCTTCCTTTCATAACGTTCGAGGCATGAAAAAAAAGTTCAGGAATTATAGTGTCTGAATGTATCATCAGATTTTTTGGACGCTCAATATTTCCTGAAAAAATGCTCCTTCAAAACTATATGCCACCTTGTCTCCTAAAACAGAGAATTCGATGCATTACCTTAGTAGCAGACTGAAACTTGTCGTTCAAGAATGGAATTAGAAGGGCTACCGTTCACGAGCTCGCTGGCTCGTGTGACACGTACACGGTAGATGGAGAACGTAGTGGCCGTGTCTTTACCTCCGCCGAACCAAGCGGAGATGGAAGAGCTGGGATGCAGAGCGTGGAGCGCTCGTGCGACATTGAGTCATTTCAACCAGATGACTTACGAGCAGCTGGCGCAGTTTCATGTGCAGCAAGAAACTGCGTATGGCAATACGGCTGAAAGATGAGTATACAGATCGTTGGCGATGGCTGCCGCGATAGAGACGAATCGCCGGGAACAAGAGGCGTCGCGCGCGTTTCTCGTGCGACAACAAGAAGTTCGTGCGTCAGTTAGAGGAGCTGAAGCGAGTGATGGCTGAGCAAGCCAGAGTCTCTGAAGCGCATCAAGATATACTCCGACAAGCATTGGATGCGATGCGTCAGCAATACTACAAGGTAGAAGAACTGAATCAAAAAGTTCGCCGCGACAGCATACAACGGGTCTATTTGCCGAAGCAACGAATCTGCGTTCGGCATTTACGACGAGCCGAGCAGCCGAAGCGCCTCCGCTAGAAAATCTGTTGGGCGTACAGCAAGTGCTGTTGGCGCCCACGTACAAGGGAAGCGCAAGCGTCGCGAGTTCATGGATGGGTACCTAGCGTACTCGCGACGCGTGGAAGTGCTGAATCGCGGCACAGGCGGTACCTTGTTTCTGATGCCGCTGGCGGCGTGCATCGATCAAACGATTGTGCCGCGTGTCTGCGCATATGATTTTAGGAAGTGGTTCGAAGATATCGACTGGCGTGACTACTTCCTGTCTGCACGAGAGGTGCAAAATATTGGACCTGGACGCCGTGACGAAGGCAATGGCGGCGTTGAAGATGGACAGGAAGATTTGCGATGCTGAGTCTCGTGTGGGAAGACTGCTAGCCGATGCTAGCCGACTTCTACGAGAAGTTGGAGCAACTGGACGTTGCGCACTTGCCGGAACAAGAGCCAAAGCAGTAGGTGAAGATATTGACGGCGGCGATCCGTCCCTCTCAATTCAAGGCAACTGTCGAAAGACAGTTGTACAAGACGGATGTGCGTTTGTTTTGTCGTGTGACCCTGATGGACAACTTTATGTTGTTCGAGTCACAAATGCTGGTCGCGGAGAAGAAGCAAGATACGGTCCCGCCAAGACAGTACGGCGACAAGGCTACGCGATATGTGCCGACGAAGAATCGTGACGGCGTTGCAACGACGAGGGCGTCGACGACGAATTCGGTAGCGGCCTTGAGTGAAAAGGGCTGCCTGAAGTGTGGCAGCGATGAACACTGGGTATTAAGGAGCTCCAAGGTGCAGCCAGGTGAAGCGTAGCGTCTGTTGGACAAGCGTTTCAAGAAACCTCACAGAGCTGCGTCCGCAGCGTCGGAGAAGAGGGACGACGCCAAGCGCAAGATTATTGGCGCTGCCGTGGATATCCAGGACGCGTTGGTTATTGACTGTCCATGCACGGTGGCGTGTGATGTCAATGGCGTGACGGCGTTGGCGCTCTTGGACAACGGCGCCGTTCAATCGGTAGTGTCGCCGACGTTCCTGGCGCGTGGCGAAAGTGTCGGTAGCTTTGCGTTGGCGGTGCGCCAACTGGACCGATCGATCGAGTTTGGCTGTTTCATGGAAGCCATGAAGCTTGCAGTGGACCGCGAAGTCAATCTGCGATTGACTTTCGACACTGCCGAAGGGACCTTGGTGTTAGCGAATCTGAAGTGTTGGGTGGCAGCGATGCCACTGCAAGACGGCTAGGGCGACGTTATCTTGAGTCGCGACGTGATGGAGCGACTGGAATGCTGCCTTCATTTGTTACTGGCGCGAGAGCGGCGTGCGCAGAGTGTGAACGACCTCAATCAGCTGGGCGACAAGGAGACGCCACCGATTGCAGCATTGAAGGTGGTCGAGACGGCAGACAAGCTACATCGTCTCCCGAAGAAGCTTCACTTTACCCTGAAGATGAGC